ACGCAGTCCATTCACGAACATCTCCTCCCGGCTCACGACGACCAAAAAGTCAGCGGCATGTTTCGCCCAGCAGCTGCGGAAGCAACGTCCCTGTTTTCTGAGCGGCAAGCAGCGATTCACTGCCAGCCAGCTCCAAGAGTTGCGCGCGCCGCCGAAGCCCCCGCCCAGGCTTCCGACGTGCGTTCACTGCCGTGGCACACCGCTTTCACTGTCTCGGGCTCCGGCTTGGCTTTCAGTCTGGCGGCGGCAGCTTTCTGCGCGGCGGCGGGGAGGGGGAGGGGAGGACGCCGGGAATGGCTGCTTTTCTGCCGTGCCAGGTTGCCGTGCAGCAGACGCCACCAGCGTCCGTCCAGCCGCCGTCATCCGCCCTGTGCCATTTGAAATGGAGAATCTTCCTCCTCGTTGTTAACCTGTTCGTGCCAATCGGAAAGGAGGAGGCGCGGGGCGAGCCGTCGGCTTACTCGTTGTGCTGCGTCGTTGGCGACGCAGGGCGGCAGCACGCGGGAGGATGCTCCCTCGCGCCGCCGTGGTCGTCACCCTGTGGGGGAGGGGGACGGGGGGGGGGGGGCAGCACTGTCCTGGACGGCCGCCGGCACGTGCTCGGCCGCCTCGTGTCATCGCGTCCCCTGGTGTGGCGCCTAGGGCGGGCTGGGGCGAGGAGGGGAGGGGGAGGGGAGGGGAGTGGAGGCCTGACGCTCAGCTGTGGTGGCGCGGCGGGCCAACACACCTGGGACGGCACCTGTGGCGACCGGTCCCTGACTCACCGCCCCCCCCCCTCCCCCAACGGCCTCGGCGCGGAACACCAGGCGACCCAGATGGCGCCGGCGTGGTGGTGGTGGCGGTGTGAGGGGGTCAGGATTGATCAGGAGGCCGGCTGTGGGTAGCGGACGGACCAGCGCTCCTGAAATGATGGACTGCAGCAGGACCCGGGCTCCTAAGATGTCTTGCTCATGGGGTGGCGGCGGCACTGCTGGGTGCGTGCCACAGGTTTGATGGCGAAGTTCTCATCTTGTGTACCGTCACGGCAGTGACGAGCGCGCGACAACTGATAGCGGGGGAGGGGAGGGGGAACTCGACAAGGACAACGACTCTTGAACTTACCCAGCACCCTCTGTTCGTCCCTCGAACTGTTAAATGATATTTAGTCAGGCCCATGGTGCCTTGCGACCAAAAACGAATTGAAATGGACTTTTGCCGTACCACATCCGTACTTTGTGTGAACTCCCGCGGTACGGGCAACAGTAACAGTAATGTTTTTGACCCTGAGCAGTGCCTAAATATGACTGATAGAACTTCACCATCGCCTTCGTGAGGCGATTCGGTGATTGCCAGTTGTTTGCCCAATGCAATGTCGTTTTCTTAATGAAAACAACAACCCAATCGACTAGAATGATTAGGTGATTGAGTTTGTGTATCAGGATTGACTGGATGCTGGCCTCCCAGCGTGACGATGACGTGACGCCTGCAGCCTGAGGCGCAGGCGGACCCTGGCGCCTGCAGGCTGAGCCGCAGGCGGACCCTGGCGCCTGCAGCCTGAGGCGCAGGCGGACCCGGACGCCTGACACGCTCGGAGGCCAGTGTCAAGCCAAGCCCGCCACGCAAGCCCAATCAATCTGCTCTTAGAGCGAGTCAGTCCCCTCTGGCCAAGCTCGGACGTGGCCGAACTCCGGTGCCGACGCCGCTCCGTCGATTAGCACGATACGTGTGGTCCGGTCCAGATTGGGAGCGGCCCTCATCCGTCAGCGGTGGCCGGCCGCTGAGTCAGCCGACCGCCCAGGTGGCCCGTCAAAGGTCACCATGGACGCCGCTGGCCGGTCCCTCGCCGGCCCCGCTAAATGTCATGTCGTGACGTCACGGCGCCGCTGCACACCCGCGGCCGGCGGCGGACGCGGGTACACGTGGTCCAGATCCCCGCCGCCCGCCCGGGCTGGGTATCGGCCGGCGCGCGCCGCCGCCGCCGCCGGCCGCCCCCCCCCCCCCCCACGCGGAGCGCCTCAAAAACAGGCAGCGTCGCCTGGGCCAGCGTGGTGGCGGGGGTTTGCACTGCGAGGACAGGGACACTGCGCGGCTCGCGCTGACGGACCTGGGGGGTGGGGGGCGGGGGTTTGCACTGCGAGGACGGGGCGGGACACCGCGCGACCCGCGTATACAGAGAGGCGCAGCGTTGAACACAACGCTGCGCCACAACGCACAACGCACGGGAAGGGCTCGCCAGCACAACGCACTTCACAACGCACGGGAAGGGCTCGCCAGCGAGAAACTGAAAGCAAGGCAGGGATGTCTGGAGGTTAGGAGCGTCTGGAGGGAGAGGTATCCGGCGATAAACTGGAGGGAAGGCAGGGATGTCTGGAGGTAGGCCGCGTCTGGAGGGAGAGGTGTCCGGCGATAAACTGGCGGGAAGAGAGTGATGTCAGGAGGCGGAGGCGTCCGAAGGCAGGGGCGTAGACACCTGGAGGCCGGTTTTCAGCCTGCTCCCAGCGGCGGTGGGGCGGAGTGAGTCGGAATGTAACGCCAGCCGCGCGGCAATGGCCAATAACGTCAGTTTGTTCTGCGTCGTTTTGCAACGTCGCAAACTGTGTCACGAGTAGCGTCGGCACCGTCGCGGCAATTGTCAATCGCGGTGTTAACGATGCGTTGGGCACGATTGCGCCCCGGTCTTGATCGCTGTTGTCTTGGGTCGGAGCGCGTCTGGTATCACGTGGCCGGCGCAACGTCCCGTGTCTTCTGTGCAGAAAGCCCGGCAGCAAAATTACGACGGAAGGTGATGTCTGATAAACACTTAAAATATTGGGTAATTTAATTTATCACCTGTGATGGGGGAAACGTGGCCAAGTAGGATCCGAATATGTAGGTGGAGTGCGCGGAAACGTTACTACTGCAAGTGCAAAAGCAGCATGACTGACGACGCTGAAGGGCAACTGACCTACAAAGTAAATAACCCGGCATCAGTAAGAGACCATAAGCTCCCGATTTTAGGCAACACTCGTCACCATAAGTTCAGCCTGAAAAGTGGGTCATTTCCATGATATGTTTAATTTTATTTGCTTGATATGCTGCTCCGAACCTCTTGGCAACCTCCTGGTAAGTAATGTTTAACATACGAACCCACCATTTTTTTTTCAGCCTAACGGCTTTGAAAAACTTGTATCATGATACAAAAGTTGAGGCATTGGTAAGCACCTGCGTCAGTGAAAAGTTTGTGACCAATAGTTGGAACCCGAAACCGTACGCCAAGGCATTAGTCATCAGTATAACTCTCCACACGTTTGAAAAGTAGGTACTTTCAAAAGCACAAATAGGTGCTCCTCCACTTGTTTCGAGAGAGTTTGTTAAAGTTGTATGGAACGAATTGGAAAGTTATTTCAGATCTGCTCCCCTTCCTACAATTAAAAAACCTTTGTCCTAGGTTAATAAGTCGGGGCATCTTCAGTTTGGCGTAGTAACTTCACACGGCCTAGTCGGTCTACAACGCTATTTTCAGCCTTATATCTTAACGACCGCACATCACAGCACTGCGTGGTGTTCAGCAGGGATAATCCTCTGGAGAGTCGGCCGACATCATATCCAGGGCCACCGTCTTTCCCCTAACGCTCACGCAGGTTCCAAGTAGTGTGCAGCAAATATACAGTCTGTGGAGTTGAACGTAAAAAGCTGGTTCAAAAGACTTCTTTCTTTCAGTGGACAGCATTTATTCGTCCGTTCACACAACGTTACGGCCGGGAACGGATTCGCACCGTCAGTGTTGCCTTCGAATTGACCAAACAACACGAGAGGCCAACACGAATGTAGTAAATATTGACGTCAACCATTGGCGCCATTAAAGTGCACTTAAGGCTTGTCACAAACACAGCAGGTAGTAATGGAAAATCGCCAGAAGCCAAGCTCGTGTTTGTTTCCTGAACAGTTTGAGCATGTCTGTTCCTTTCCAGGCCCCTCATTTGGCATTTGCCGCCAACTAACATTAAATGAGTCATTTCGTAGCAGAGTACGAAACAGAATGCGCAACGGCAGGCCTGCGCGATTTCGATGACGCCCTGCGCGATCTCGATGACGCTTGACAAGAACACGTTTCGTCTCGTCATCGGGACTTTACGACGCACTTAGATGCTGAGGCCATATGGCGTCGCCTGCTTCTCACCCTGGCAGGATGGGTGGGCACCGCGGGTGATGCAAACCCCGTACCTCTGGTCTCCCAGACGTGCGGTGGTTAACGCAGACGCGTTAACCATTACGCTGTCGGCACCCCACATAAAGGCGCTTTATTGACCTCATGGTCAAGCGGGACCGTTCAGTTTCACACGGAAGATTATATTTTACTAACGACTGAAAATAAGGTTTGGCTCTGTGATTGGGGTGCTTGATTGCTGTGTCGTGCCTTTTCCAGTGTGTGAGTGTGTGGTATTGTGCGATGTCATATGTGAATTGGCGCGATTTCAATGCCTAGATTGCCACCGCGTTCGAGGGTAGGAAATACGCAAGATCATGGCTGCAGAAGAGCCGTTGTGGCTGCCTACTAGCAACTAACTAGCGACAAATCACAAAGATCTCCACCATCACATGTAATTCAAATCCGAGCATACATTTCTCTTCTGTATCCGTTTGGGAGTGGCATCAGCAGTTCGTCGGGTGCCTGCCGGCTGCAGCGGTGCCGGCGGGGTCTCCCGGCGCGGCTGTGGCCCGCAGCTGTGGGGCGCCGGAGCATCACCTGTGTCTGCCGCCGGCGCCGCGGCGCCCGTCGTCCGGGTAATCGGAGCCGGCGGCGCCTCCTCCGTCGGGTGCCGCTATTTCGGCCCGGCTGGGGGTGGCGGCCGGCCCGCCGCGCCGGCGGCGACATCTCACTACAGTGCCGGCAAACAGGCGGTCGCACCCCCGCCCAGCTAATAATAGGCTCGCCCGAGTAAACACTCGAGCACTGTCAGGTGTCACCGACGCCGGCCAATCGCCGCGCCGGCCAGGTCACGTGGTCCGAAGCGGCGCGCTGACCTCTGACCTTTTGACAGGTAACGATGGCGGACAAGGCAGCGGCGGAACGCGCGTGCAAGGACCCTAATCCCATCATCGACGGGCGCAAGGCCAATGTGAATCTGGCTTACCTGGGCGCGAAGCCGCGCGGCAACCTACAGGCTGGTGAGTGGGGTCAGTATGCCGCCTTTCTTTCTCTTCTCTCTCATCTCCGTTTGTGTGGTCGTCTGAGTTGGCTCTCGCAGGGGGCAGCACCGTCGGGCTCAGAATAGTTCACATCATGAACTCGGCGTCAAGGTTTTGAGCTGTGGACGGGCGACCGTTTTCAACTTATCACAAACGACACAAACCGAAATGAACCAGCAAGGATTTTCGAAAGGCTTCGTATGGTTTAGGTCGCCTTGATAGCCTTCATTAACAGGGACGTCCAGCGTACGTAATTAAGTTGGGCTGGGACCAGGAAGTATGATTGTTTTTTAGGCACACTTTTTGGTGGGTCTTAAGGGGCCGATCCAAGCTCTTACTGGACCGCGGCTCCTTTCGAGCCGATTAGATAACTTTTTAGTTTTGACAATACAAACGGTACCAAAAGAGAATTGGGCCCAGTAGCACGCACGGCGTGCCTCCGCGCCCATGTCAAGGGGTGCTCATCTCGAGCAGGACACTGGCCTGGGCGTGCTAGGGGATAAACAAGGGAGAGACGAGGGAAACATATATTCAGACAAGCCCTGGAAACATGAAAAATGCTCTAAAAACATTAAAACACGCGTTTAGAGCGAAAATGTGATGTAAATTCTTTGGTTGGAGGAGTTCTTAGAAGCCCAATTTTTCACCTTTCTTGGACAGGGTGTGAAAACTAAGTACACAGAATGAATGCCCCTGAATAAGGCTTACAGTTAGAGAAATTATGACGAAATGAGAGGCTTGCGTTGTTTTATTGTCGTCACCCACATACCAGCCCAAAACAGCCGACCTTCCCTATGCAGTACAACGGCCGCTTCCAGCATCAGAGCTGCAGCAGTGACGTCACGTGACCATCATGTGACTCGCACCAGCCGGCCGTTGGCCGTTTGTTTGCTCGTGTTTCCTCAGCGTCTGACACAGCTTCACTGTCCCCAACGGGCACAATTCGCCAGCTTTCTTATGATTCTTTACAGGACTTCGTCCTGGTTTCCGGACTTCTAGTCATTTTACACAGAACATTCGACAATGCCCGGAAGGTGCTGCTGAGCCCCTGGCGAAAAATTCGCGGGAATATGATGATCCTGTGCTATCGCTGCCTACCATGCGCGTGTTTTTCGTCTTCTCATTGACGGGCTTGTCCACTGTGCAGAGCGCTTCAAGTCATGCAAGCGGCATCGTTTTTGACACCATGTCGTTTTTCAGTGCAATTTTTCTGATACAGTAGATTGGCACGCATTTGCCTGCATCCGTTTCCATTTATGACAATTCCGCACGCCGCTGAGATCAAGCCAAGCCCAGCTCCGGCTGGCTGATCCCAGCTCCATTTTGGGCCATAGACGCTTGTGCTAACTCCATGGTCCATTCATCAGGGTTGCGCGTAATCTTCTCAAGATGACTGGTGGCAAAATATAAATTAATTGCTCGTTGGAGGTCTGGATTGTCACAGGCGCTCTTCTCTGACCACCCAGGGGCGTCCAACTGCTCGTATTAGGGTGGGGGTGTGGGGGGGGGGCAATCCTTTGATCTATTTCTCACTCCTCGGCCAAGCTTCTCCCGTACGCCAGTGCCACACTTCCTTTTCGGCGCGGTTCTGGTGGGCCTCGACTCATGGTCTTCCCGACGGAATAGGTCGTGTGGCATTCATTCCATCTATATCACGGTACCTTCCATGCGCCAAAGGACGCTTGCCTTCCACTTACTGTACCTTACCATTCACATTTTGTGCTTCATCAGGTTCAGATACTCTTGCTACGCGCTCAATATAACGTGAACGTAATGGATTTGAGGCCCATTGCTGTGTAACAGGGACTTCTGCGACTTGCGCGTCTGTGGTGGACCGAGTTGTAGCACATCGTCCGTTTAATGCGGGGGCTTCTAAAGCGGTCAGTTATGTCTAGTAACGAAGATAGGTTTACCGAATGGGTCTTTTTGGTGAGGTGAGACTTTCCAGACGGGATTAAAAACTTAGGGAAGTTGTCATTTTTGTGCGCAGAGTAGAGAATGCCAAGAACATTTAGCATAGGAAGGCCGCTGAAATGGGCGTGTTTCAATGGGAAAATAATACACCTAAAGTATGCCAGACATCATGAAAGGTACTACATTCTCAATGACACTGGAAGGCCAGGTCCTCCACCAGTGGTTGAAAATGTTTGGTCACCAACAAGCACTTTCTTAATGGTGCAGTCAGTCACGATAAGTGTATACTCAACACAAAATCTGATTTCATAACGAACTCTTTCTTGAGGTCAACCATCTCCAGCCGCTCCATCATCCGGCTGCATCTAAGGCGTTTGCCGCCGCTCCGGTCGCACTGCCGCCTGCTTTTTTCATCCAATGATGATGATCCAAGTGATGATTTCATCCGAGTGATGCCGCCAAATACAAGTGGGCTGACCTGTTACTCCCTCGAACCACATTTGAGATCGCTCAGGGGTATACTGTCCATGTTTCAATGTTCTCTGCCTGGCTGTCGAATTCTTGAAACAGTCCAGTGTTTGCTACAGCAGGCGTCATCAATGCTTTGTTCAGCACCTACCTAGCATGGAGTCTGTCTCATTAAATCTGCCACCCCCCGGGAGAGGACATGCCACTCTCGCGCGCTTTTCGGGGAAAGAGGGCTCTCTAAACAATCCCACACCAACTCCCAACACAGAAAGCGTAGGCGCTAATTCTTCGACTTTGAAGGTAGTCGGGAAACACTTCTTGGCCTAACGTTGTTTGAACGCAATCCTGGATATCCCCAAACAGGCAGTTCATAAGGTCAGCCGGGCACTCACTGGCGCAAACCAGCCATCACCTCTCCTGGATCCATGCGATAGTCACCCGCATCAGACCGGTCCCTGCACCCCTCATGGATCCATGTGGTAGTCACCCGCACCAGACTGTCTCTACACTCCTCCTGGATCCATGTGGTAGTCACCCGCACCAGACCGTCTCTGCACCCTTCCTGAATCCATGCGATAGTCACCCGCACTAGACGGTCTCTGCAACCCTGTTGGATCTATGCGATAGTCACCCCGCACCAGACCGTCTCTGCACCCCTCCTGGATCCATGCGATAGTCACCTGCAATCAGACCATCTCTGCCCTCCCCATTCCCCGGCGGACACGTGCAGCCGTCTGAGACAACTGTGGCGCGCCGAGAAGACAGCGGCCGCCTGTCAAACAGCTGAGGCGCGAGCTCTCAGCGGCCGCCAGCGGCGCGCCGCGTTTCGCCACCCCGCTTTCTTGAGCGCAGCGCCAAGAATGGCTCGTGCGGAGTGCGCAGCGGAAGGCGGCGCGCGCGGCCTGTCGGCGGCTCGCTCCGCCGGCGGCGGCGGCGACCGCGCGCGCCGCCGCGCCCGCATACACCGCGCTCCTGCGATGCAGGGGGAGGGGGGGGGGAGTGAGCGGTCATCACCCCGGCATCGCTCGTCTGGAGGTATGGCCGGAACGCCCGAGCGCGGTGGTATGTGCGCTCAGGGGCGGGTGACACGGGGATGGGGATGGGGATGGGGATGGGGATGGGGTAAAGTTAGTCGGGATGGATATAGTCGGCGGAGCGTGTGAAATGTCGGTGGTGGCGTCAGGGGCGCATCGTGGAGGCGAATGGGCTTTGATCGCGGTTTGGGTGTCGGGCCAGGCTTTGATCGCGATTCGGGTGTCTGGCCAGGCTTTGATCTGGGCAGGGGTCCGCGATCTTAATCTTCCGAAGTGTTGATGTGTCAAATATGGGTCAACATGGATTGTTGTGATCACAACTTGGGGTCGATGATCGCGCCGCCTGGTTCAGCTCTGCCAATTTCGCTCGCGACAGGAGCTGCTAGTTCAGCTAGTTCAGATTGCCAGGCCTTCCGAGAGCAGAAGTGTTTGACGGATTGGCAACTACTACAAATAAATTCCGTCAGATGGTTAAATGTGATCGAAAGGATAAGCGAATGTTTTGTAACTGCGCCAAAATGCAAGTGCTCAAAATTTGACGCAAATAGTCTAGTTTGTGTTGTGTTGAATGACGGTCAAATCTAGTTTTATTGGTACGTTCGATTTCGCAAAGCGCGGTGTCTTTTCTTGATGCGTTTTTTTTTTGGCTTCATCGGTCACGAGCTCAACGGCAACGACGAATCCTACGAGTCCAATTACATCAACGGCATTGAGTCCTGTTTTAGACTGAAAACGATCGTTTTGCCCATGAAACTACGCCTGGCTTTAAGTCATGTAAATCCGCCCTAACACTTGTGTGCACAGGCCCATGCTTGAGCAATCAGGTCACATGACTCCCGCACTTCTTCAGCACAACGCTCGCTTGCTGCGCTTCTGTAGAACCGTTGGCTAGCATTGGCAATTCAGGTGAAATATCGCGCCATACATCAGCGCTGTAAACAACCACGTCGCTAAGGAGACTTAAAGGATAGTGGCAAACCCACACCGATTACGGTCCACCCGGAAGTAATTACTCTGCGCACGCAAATGCCGGCGGCTTTGGTCGGCCGGTCGCCGCGATGTCCGGCCGGCCTGGGCTTATCGTGCCATGGCTGTGGCAGTGGTGGGATGCCCTGCGTGGCGTGCCTGAAAGTACAACACCAACGGAATGTTGTCTGGTGGTGATCTAAAGAGAAGGACGTCAATAGAGAGCTGTCTCCTCACTAGTTGGCGCGCTCCTGCCGTGCGCAGCAGGACAGGCGGTACGCCGCGTGGTTACCCAGGAGTTTCGTCTCTCTATCGTCGGTGGCTCTTCACCTCAGCCTCTCCCGCCCTCGTCATCTCAGTAGCAGCAGGTACTGCCCAGCGCAGAAAGACAGGCTCAGAGATATTTCGCAAAGAGGGAGGGGGGTGGGGGGGGGGGACATCACGTGGGTCTTGGCACGGAAGCGCGGCCATCTCGAGCCAACCGTCGTCGCCGCCGCCGCCGCCGCCACGGCCGCCCGGGAACAACAGCCAATCAGCACGTGCCATCTGGCCGTGGGCTGGCTTTGGCACGGCTCTGGCTTTAGCGCCGCGTTTTTATGCGCTCATTACTCCCACCCAGGACCCATTACATCGATTGCACTAAACCGGCCGTAATTGGTACTAAAGACGCTCTCTGCAGCGGGCGATTGCACAAATGGCAAGCCGTGTCCCGATGCGAAAAAGTGGCACTGATACAGGCTCTGACGGCCACGCTGTCATTTGTGGAGCAAATTACCGCCAGTCAGTCGGCCGATGGACTTGGTCCTTTGATTTGTCCCTGATGGTCATTTCACCGACAAACAGCGACGTCACAAATCGGGACAGCGAATTGTCATCCGCTTCATTGCACGCTAGTATATGACTGCACTACTTTTGAGGCTGGGAGGAGTTTTTCCCAGTTATTTCATCGACAAACAGCGGCGCCACAAATCGGGACAGTGAATTGCCATCCGCTTCATTGCACGCTAGTATATGACTGCACTACTTTTGAGGCTGGGAGGAGTTTTTCCCAGTTATTTCATCGACAAACAGCGGCGCCACAAATCGGGACAGTGAACCGCCGTCTGCTTTATTGTACGCTGGTGTATGACCGCACCACTTTTGAGGCTGGGAGAAGTTTTCCCCGCTGCTGACGCATCGGAAGGATCTGGCTGCCGCACCATCGCGTACAAGTTGGCGCTGTTGTAGCCGCCCGTGCTGTGCCGCCCGTGCTGTGCCGTCCGTGCTGTGCCGTCCGTGCTGTGCCGTCCGTGCTGTGCCGTCCGTGCGCGCTGTATGCAGGCGTATTCGGATATGACCGGCGCCTCCTCTCCGTTCCAGGGCTCGCCCTCGCTTCTGCCGCCGGCGTCCGCTATCCAGCAATGTACGCGTGAGTGTGTGCCTTTCTTTCCCACCACCGCATGCCGGGACCGTGCTCTGAACTAAACCGCCGTCGCAGGGACGTCACGCCGACGTCACGCCGACGTCACGCACACGTCACGCACCCACTCACGCGTGGTTTGGTTTCTGGGTGATGGGACACGTCACGTCGTTGGCTGCATGGACGGTTGCGGTGCGGTGCTCTTGCTAGTCAGTAGTCGATTAACCGCGTGCCGTTTCAACGTTAAGACAATGCGGGGACTGACTCGCTATCTCCGCAACGGACACCTCCACATGCCTGGCTGCCCTAGTTGTTCCAAGCGTTTATCAAGTAATCTAATAGCGATTAGTAATCAGAAATAAATCCATTTGTTTGCTACTGTGTGTTGTCCTGAAGCGCACGGTTATTAGCGAACTATACATGGGTTGTCCGCCTGTGTGCGTGTGTCGGGATCGCTGGCTGATAAGCGTGTTTAATGCTGTGGGCGTAGACAGCACAGAACATGAGAGGCATGGTGATGCCCATGTCACCAAACAGCGTGTGGTATTTTGACACGATTCGACCGGTTGTCATTATGGGTAGGTCGAGTAATCAAATTCGTTATCGAAAAGTGCAGAAAAGATGACGAATGGGCGAAGGTTGCATTCACTTCACGTACGAGCAAAAAGGCTGTTGAGACCCTTTCTAGCTGGGAAGAGAGAAGAATGTGTAGCGCTGTTTTTTGTCCAACTGTTCCAGCTGTAATCAGCCAGAATTCTCTGGCCGCTTCACAGTTAGCGATGTTGCTCGCAAGATAGTGCGGAAAATGAAACGGCATGGAACATAACACAATAAAAAAGGTTCTTGTGCCTGGCAGAAGTGTCACGAATACCATGATGCTGGTTAATTGAGGACAAGGAACGTGTGCTCTGGCACAGGCAGCGTTCGCTAATAACGGATACCGTCCAATAAAGCACAGCGGCAAATAAAGCAGCGCCTCGTCATAACACCGGGGGCGTCTATCTCGCCAATTCGTGACGAACTTGCTCGCGCAAGTGATCAGCCTCGCCTTCCACCCCTCCCCCTCTACCCCGCGTCCGGGTCTGGCTGCCGAAAGCGGGGTCACGCGCCCGCGCCGGCCCGCCCGGCACCCGACGATGCGCCGACGCCGCTCCTCGGGCCGGCGAGGGTCGATGTCGACGCTCGTCCCCCGGGGCCGGCCGGCCGGCGCGCCAGCAAGGCTCGCGCGCCACGCGCCGGCCGCTGGCGCCGTTTTTGCCGTCGGTCGCGGCGAGACACGCCCCGGTCGTTGGCGGCGTTTGGCCGGATTGGCGGGCGACGATCGCGGGGGCGTGAACGTCCGTCGAGAGGTTTTTGCGCGCGCTGGGACGGACAGCGGCCGTCACGCTGGACGTGGATGACCCGGCCATGGCGCAATCTGGGCATGGCACTCTCTGGCTGCCGCGATGCTCTAGCGGCCGCGATGCTCTAGCGGCGCTCTAGCGGCCGCGATGCTCTAGCGGCCGCGATACTCTAGCGGCCGCGATACTCTAGCGGCGCTCTAGCGGCCGCGATGCTCTGGCGGCGCGATGCTCAGCTACGATACTCTAGCTGCCGCGATGCTCTAACGGCTGCGATACCACTTGTTCTGCGGCCATATTCCTGAGCCAGGTGGTCTTACAGCCAACGTCCCGGTTTCTCCTGAATCGCCGGGACTGGGGACCGCTGAGCACTTCCTCGGTGGGAGCTGGTCGCGATCATACCGTCATCTAGGGTGAAATTGCCGATCCGTCTGATGCCGAAATGTGAGCAGATGCAGCTTGGATTGTGAATAGAGCTGTGCAGCTCTTTGGAGGTTCCCTGGCCTCCCCCCCCCCCCCTAATCCCCACTGTTTGTCTGTCTTGTCTGGTTAGTTGTTTGATGAAATCATCGCAAATCTGCAAAAAGGGCGTACAAGCGGGAAAGCGTCGATATGTGTTGGAAACAGCTGGTTGTCGACCTCAATTATTTTTACGAGGCTCCGCGGGCTTGGGCGCGCACTGTCAATCGACAACATTTTTATGGTCACTCGGGTTATTTGGGCTGAAACACGGGACTTGTCCGCTGTCGACCCCCTCCTCGCCAACCCGCTTTAATTAGAGAAGCAAACTATGTCACACTTAGAGCGCGTGACTCGTCGTGCACGTTGGAAAGAGGTTTAAAGCCGGCGGGGCGTAAGGTAGGCATAAGGTATGGTCTGCCAAAGGAAGGGAGGGGGGGGGGGAGGAATGTGCCCCAGGACTTCCCGTAATTGCCCGTTACGCCGATGGCATTGCATGAAAATGATCGCTTGACATTTGCTCCGAGATAGAACCGGCGGTAGAAGGCAACCGTTGACATCACAGCAGCCCCTCTTTCCGTGGTCATCCCTGACAGGGAGTGTCATCGGGTTACCAGGTCAGAGATCAGAGGTCAGGGTAGACGCTAAAGGATGCTGCAGACACCGCAGTAACCATCCGCGGCAGCAGCACTTCTGATGCACAATATCTACTGCGACTACCAGAATAACTGCTAAAGAGATGGTAAAGAGCTGCAGATGGTGTCATGGCTGGATACTAGTTGGATTACTAGTTGGATACTAGACACTAGGCTGGATTTCACTAGGTATGTCATGTCCGTGCGAGCCTAATTTCTGCTTTAGAGCTTCAGATGTCAAGTAATGATGGTGCCTTTAATCCTTACACATT